TTTAACACAAGAAATTTTTATAATTCTATGTTTTGTTATTCTTTAAGTTATAATCAGGGTCGACCTTGATTTTGTTTTTATTTTTATGAACGCAGGTTTTGCAGAGACACTGGTAGGATCATATCACCTTGTACAATGTTTACCAAACAAAAAAAACCTTACAGTTCCAAATACTTCCAGTATGGTATGTTCTTTATCAGTGAGCAATTTAGTTGATTCTAATGTATGTTTCTTACTATTTGATATAAAGAAAAACGATAGGAAACTAATTTGATGATAAGATGTATTCTTTAGTTATAATTTTCTACTAAGTGTTCTTTACTTCGATGACAGACGATAAGAAAATAGAATGTTGACAAACAATTATAAAGTTTTTCCTATTAAAGCAACAACTTGACATATAGAGTCAATATTATTGTAACAGCTTTTCTGGTATTTAGCAAACAACAAAAACATATCATGCCATTTGTTGCTGATAGGCTATGAAATGACAATATTGATAACCAAGAAAGCATCTGTAATGACCTACATATTTAGATGTCAGTTAGATAAATCCTTAAAATTTTCCATTGTGCAACATAATATCCACTGTTGAGTGTTGAAAAAAATTTTTTTTCATTTGACTTATTTAAAAATTTATATCAATTTTGATAAAGAAACCAAAGGGTCACTTGTATAAATTTATGCTCCATGACAACATTTTTATTTCTGTTTAATTAAAGATTTTTTTCCTTAATTAAAGCCTCGGGTATTGTAGTTTTAAGCTCGACAATTGTTATACACGTTTATTTATCCTATTATTGCAAATAAAAATTTTTTTCAAAATATGTCATGTATGTGTGAGCCTAGAATCCTAGAAATTTAATTATACCAATATTATTTAAGATGAACAAAGTTTTTAATTATCTGACATTAAAAATAGAAAGATTATCAATGAATAAAAGCAGCTTGCAATTGTCGAATCTCATGATACCAGCGACTTAGTAATTAGAATAAATATATATATATATATATTAATTGACAATGAATGTGTATTCATAAGATGATTAGAGAAGATGAATAAGACATGCAGTACTTTTATTCGTCATAAATTACTGGTTAATTTTTCATAATATTATTGAATCTGGAATATTGCATGTCATAAGGTCCAAAAAAAAACAAGTGATATGTCAATTCTTTTTTACTTAACAATTTATATTTAATGTAAATGTCATTCTATTTAACTTCTTCTGTTCGAGAAAAATAACTTGTTCTGTTTTTCTTTATTCGTAGTTCTGTCATCTATTTAATTATGTATGACGACAATTTGACTCGAACTCATAAACATCATCGTCATTTACATTAATGAATACTATAAAAGAAAAAGTTTCACACTGTTATTTTCTGAACGAAATAACTTTTATTAATCTGGTAACGTATTCATCGCTAACAATAGATTTCGAGAAATATTTCCTTTCTATTCGTCGAACATAATTATGTTCGCCATCGAATCATTCTCTTATGCTTCTCTACAGAAGACTTGTTACAAAAAAAAAACTAAATTGCTTTTTTTTCAATTATCAAACTTGTAAAGATCTTTAAGCTTTTTGTTTACGTGTAGGTGGCTTTCGAGACATAAGTCATAGAAACTTTTTAAATAAAATCATCATGCTATGTGAACATCTGTATCTCTATATTATATAAGAATATTTTTTATTCATCATTCTACATAAATCATAGAAATTGACTTCTACATCAGTGGTTTTTCGGATTGAATTCTTTTGTGTAATCAATTTTACAAAGAAAAATAATAGATATGTTAGTATTTTGTTTCAAGTCGTATGTAAATATTCGTTTAAAATCATTTTGAGTTTTGGAAGTTTTCATTTAGCATTAGAATTTTTCATGAATGTATTAATGTAATCCTTTGATCATAAAATTAAAAAAAATTCAATAGCTTATTTTGGCATCATCAATCAAATATTTTCAATCTGAAATAAATTTTAAGACAAAAATTATAAACATAGTATTGCAAACTCACTTATTGACATAAATATATATATACATATATGATGTACTTCTGTCATTTTCTCAGCACATGACTTAGATAAAAAGAACTTAATCTCTAACCTCAATAATATCTTCATTGTACGTGGGCTTGCTAGAAAAATAATGAAAGCATAATGATGACAGCATTTATAGCCATTGATATTTAAGTAAGACAAGTGGGTCATGTCGTTACCTATAAACTCGTCAAGATGAATCCTTATGGAAATATAGATAAAACAATTTCTTCTTACTAATTAATACACATTATAAATAATACAATGGAAATACAAACAGAGAAGTAGTTTAGTTAATTTTGCTTTATGTTTTTTTTATTAAATACAATTTTTTCATTGTTTTTTGAATTTTTTATTTTAAGCTTTAAGATAACAAACATCAAAAAACAAATTTAGAAATTTTCTTTCCTGAAAAGGCAATAACACTTTCTTTCTGTATATCGCATTTTGTCTAGATTTTTCATGTCTTTTCTTTGTCTTTTATATGCCTTTTTGTGAAACATGAACTGGGAAGAGTGTTAAAAGTATAGGACATGATGATTAGACTTTTCAGGTGTCCTACAATTTGATATAGACACATTAACAACCATGGTTTACACACTACAAAAGATATAATCTCGAAAGAGAAGTTTTACCATACATTTTTTAGACATTAATCAAAGAGAAATGAATACATTCATAGACAAATGATAAGAGACTCAACGATAGTATCGATTTACTTCTACTTCATAAATCGAACAAAGTATCAATTATACACAGTGCTAACGTAAGCCAATTTATGAAATATGTCATTCGATTAATAAGAGTAGTTATATCATATTTCCCATATGAATCCAACAGAGAATGAACTAACAGTTTTTTTGACAGAATTATCCTTTACTTCTACTATATAACTTTTCCTTTTTTGAAGTTCTTCAACTATCTTTTGAAAAAGAAAGAAAGTCAATATTTTTTATTGAGAAATAATCGTTTTGATAAGAGCTCAAGTCAAAGAAAGTTCTCTATGCTTATATTATAATACTTATAATTATCTTTTCATGCTTAATAGAACATATTAACAAACTTCAAAATATAATGAGAACATTATGTTTTTCTCTCTACATCTCTCCAAAATACATCTATGATATATTATTCTTTTAAAAAGATGATGTTTTTTTTCTTTCTAATAATGTTATTAATCGTGATACTATCTAAATGATCAAGTTTGCTTAATTTTCATTGAGAACTTATTTTTAGTCATATGTTCATAATTATTTACTATGTTTTTATATTTTTAGTATTCCATAATGACAAAGAATCTCTGTGTGTATGTAAGTCTCCTATTTCAAAGTAAAATGATTGAAATATAGTCGATTCCTTCTCATAGAGATTGAATATCTATGAGTAGTAAAATTTTTCTTCTCTTTGATCTTTTATTAGGTATAAAAACAAATCCAATGGATAGAAAAAAAAACGTATTTTGTTTCATACGGATAGTGCAGATAGCGTAAAATAATATCTATTAATTCTTTTGATTAATGGGTGTTGTTTAAAATGAAAAAAGAAAAATTAGAAACGAGAGAGATCACCGCTTTTTTTTGTTTTCTTGTTACATATTGGTGGGAAAAAAAAATTCTTTATCATAATCATCGAACTAAAATTTCGACAATATTTCTTATGTATCAAAAGTTAAAGTAATAATTTTTAATGTCAGTTATCTATTTTTTGTAATATGTCATTGTTTGTTTTGTTTGAATCAAAAGGTACACAAGAAAAATTATCTGTGTCAAGTATCTTAAAACATATCAAATTATATTAAGTTCTATTTTATACTTTTCGATTATAAGAAAGATAACTCTATTTGATTATGTTACAGTCGAAAATAGACAAGAGAAAACCTAGTTAGAGTATCTTTTCATATATATATAGATGCGCATATACAGAAGAATAAACTCGAACTATTTTCTGTTTTTGTCACATGCAATTCTCATATGTTTTACAGAGTATATAAAGTGAGATTTTTTAATTACTGAGACACAATTTAATCTATTCAAATGAGAAAAAAAAAAAAAGAAATGTCTCTTTCCTCATTATAGCATCATAACCATAGTATGCAACTTTTTTTCAACAAATATGTATTCGGGAATTAAAGATACTCGGTTAAAAATTGAATCACTCAAAAACGGTGTGTCTTAGCGATTTGTCCTTTTCAGCATAGAAAGAGCACAGTGGGGGACACTAGTCTATATAAGATACAATGGGATTCCATAGTGATGAAGGTTAGAAAAATATGAATCTTTGAAAAAAATAGCTTGAACTCATAGTCCATAGAATCATTCTTTTCTTCTTTTATATGGGTTATCTAAAGCTTGACGGCCAGCATGAAGAAGTTATGCAGTTCTTCATTGAAATTGCTCTTGAATAATATATACATACAGGTTATCAATTCTTTTAAAGCGAATGACAAGAGTTAATATGGATTGAAAAACAATCTAAAGTGCAAAATATATCGTATGCGAGCATATCGATAACATTATTATATAATATTTATAGATTAGACTTTTCTGAACGATCATTAAAACTGGTTCATATTTTTTTTTCATTATTTTTTATTAAAAGAAGAAAAGAATGATTCTATGGACTATGAGTTCAATCAATTTTTTTCAAAGATTCATATTTTTCTAACCTTCATCACTATTGAATCCCATTGTATCTTATATAGACTAGTGTCCTCCACTGTGCTCTTTCTATGCTGGAAAGAACAAATCGCTAAGACATACCGTTCTTGAGTTATTCAATTTTTAATCGAGTAGAGCAAGTTGGGGTAAATGTAGAAGAAAAATCGAACATCTTTTG